GCAACATGTGTTTCGCTCCCGCGATTTTCGTGTTCACTCCTTTAAACATTCTAATATTGTGTATAATTTTGGCGCATCAGGGAGCCACTCTCAGGATGCGGTGTGTTTAAATATTTTTGAATGAGCGTTTGCGCTGTTTACTTTCACTTTCGATTTCGTGATCACACGCACTCTGTGTAAAGGGAGCATATCTTACAAGATCAGATATTTGTCAATGAGCTCAGAATCTGTTGAGCAGCAAATATTCCAGCATGGTCTTGTCAGTCATCTCTCCTTATTCTCGACCTGTAATCAGTCAAAGCTGACTCCGGTAGCTCTTGTTGGATGCAGGGTTGCCAAGTCCCCGTTTTTTCCACAGAATTGAGCTACTTTTAAACTGTTGCCAAGAGGGTTAAAGGTTTGAAATATTGCATAAATTACATTTGACTGAAATGCTTGTATTGAAACATTTTGCATTCTACCTATGATAAAACTTTCATGGACTTCTACATTAACTGTTCCCTCCTGGTGGAATGACCTGCCCAGCTCAATCCAAGCAGCCGAGTCCTTAATATTTTCAAGAAACGGCTGAAAACACATCTCTTTCATCTTCATTTGACCCTCTAACTCTAGCACTCTCTATTCTAATGCTACTTCTAATTTTATCTGCTTGTTTTTTTAATTAAAAAACTTGACCCTCTAACATTTGCACTTTCTATTCTATTTCTGTTCTAAAGGCCAATCCATCATTTTTTGAGGGAATTTTTATTTATTTATTTACATTATTTTTTTTTTTTAATAAGTATCGGTTCAGGCACCGTTTAGGCACCGGAACCGTTTTAAAAGTATCGATTTGGCACCGGTATAGAAAAAAACCCAAACGATACCCAACCCTAGACATGATGGTCAGTAAAGCTTATTTTGTGTAAATTAACCCTCTCAAGAGCATATTTTTCTTTTTTTTTTTTTTGAAAGCTGTTTTCTATAATTTAAATGTTGTATGTAGTTTAGAAAACAAAATAATGTTGGCTACTGACAAAAAGTCAGTTTTTGTCAATGAAGAGTAATTGTTCATTATTCACCGTAAACTGTATGTATTTTAATGAACCTTTTATTTGGTATGATTTTTCAGATTATTCAAGATGTGCTGCGACAGGAGTACTGGCTTCTCTTAGGTCCTGTAACTGGTCACATTTCTTCACTTCCAAAGTAAAAATCTCCTGATAATTCATTCGCCTCCATGTCATCCAAGATGTTCATGTCTTTCTGTCTTCAATCGCAAAGAAATTAAGGTTTTTGAGGAAAACATTCCATTATTTTTCTCCATATAATGGACTTCAATGGGGACCAATGGGCTGAAGATCAAATCACAGTTTCAGTGCAGCATCAAAAAGCTCTACAGGATCCCAGCCGAGGAACAAGGCTCTTATCTAGACAAACCATCGCTCATTTTCAAATTTTTTTTTTTTTAATTTTCAGGAAATGTTTATTCTGGAAGTGAACTAATAGAGGCCTCCTATAGCAAATCGGTGCGTTTTTGTAAGAAAAAAATCCATGTTTAAAATTTTATAAACAGTAATCTCTAGCTTCTTCTAACTGTCGTACGCAGTGAGAATATGCTAGTCTCGCGAGAACCGATGTTTGTTTACAGGAGCAAAGGAAGCAAAGTTTCCTTACTTTAGCAAAGGAAAACCAGTCTCCTCTTCTTGGCTTATATCGAAATCCTCCCACATTTTTCTTTACAAATCATCGTTTTGTACTTCTAATTCGTGACCAGTGTTTTGTTTTGTGCTTTATTGGACTTCTTTTGGACAACTAAAAAAAAACACCCATTCACTGTCATTATAAAGCTTGGAAGAGCCAGGACATTTTTTAATGTAACTCCGATTGGATTCGTCTTAAAGAAGAAAGTCATATACAGCTAGGATGGCTGAGGGTGAGTAAATCATGGAGTAATTTTTATTTTTGGGTGAACTATCCCTTTAAGATACTGATTTTCTGTAAAGCTGCTTTGAAGTGATGTGTATTGTGAAAAGCGCTATACTTGACTTGATTTCACATCAGCACCCAAATGTGCATACAGGTAAAAATTATAAAGTAAAGACCAAGAGCTGTAAGATCAAGAGAGCGTCTTACCGTTCCGATCAGTCGTCCGTCCGAGTTCATGGCGAGGTAACGGTTTGCGCAGATTCCTTTGATCACCACCTCACCGACGGCCGTGGCCTGGAGCTGCAGCCGAACTGCGAGAGAACAAACACACACAAACTATCTGTACTCTTAGTACGTACCGCCCTCGTGAACCGAACCGAACCGAACCGTGAGCAATCTGAACCGTTACACCCCTAATACTAATTACACCAGCCTTCCCGGTTCGTTCCGGTAGCCGCTGATTTGTGTTCTGCTCCCGTGTTTGTGCTCGCGTTCTGTGAAGTGTGTCAACTGTTATAATTTTACAACATGTTTTGCTCAAGCAGCAACCTCCCGCTCTCTCTCGTGAAGCCAACACGGAAGTGACTTAAACTGTAATTCATCAACTGGCCGCTAGAGGCGGGCTGCAAAAGGGAGTCAATCCCATAGACTCCCCATGTTAAAATGCCCAACTTTACATCAGAAAAAACATGTTTACAGCCTGGTTCAAAAAATGATTTTGGTATATATAACTAATTTTGCCCTTCGTGACAACTGTGAGGGTGGTGAATTTTTTTATAACTCATCCGTTTAAATTATATTAAGCCTTAACGTTCTTGCTGCTAAAAAATATAATTTAAACGGATGACTTATAAAAAAATTCACCCCCCTCACAGTTGTCACGAAGGGCAAAATTAGCTATGTAGACCAAAATCATTTTTTGAACCAGGCTGTAAACATGTTTTTTTCTGCTGTAAAGTTGGGCATTTTAACATGGGGAGTCTATGGGACTGACTCCCTTTTGGGGAGTCGATTAATTGCAGTTTTAGTCACTTCCGTGTTGGCTTCACGAGAGATACCGGAAGGTATCTTGATAGGTAGGCTTGATATACACACAGACTGTACAGTTTAGTAGGCTATTCACACAGTAGGTCTTAATAGGCCGTCTGTCTCATTAATGTTAATCTAACAATAAGGGAAAAGATCACTGCTCTTGATTGAACTGCTTTTGTAGTTTTAATAATCAATTTATTTGTAATGAAC